ATTTTATAAGATTTGGTATTTTTACCATTGTTTATTGTAAATTAAATAAATGGATTTTTAGATAAAATAAAAAATATCCATTTTATGATTCAATCAATTGTTTTTTATACCAAAAACGAGCTCTAAAATCGTCCGAACATGTTAAAAATGCTGCTGAATTTGGAGAATGCACTATTGAACGAATAGGTCCATTATGGCCTAAAAAATAATTCACAATGATAAAATTTTAATAAAATTAATGCATTTAATAAAATAAAATACCTAGTGATAACAGATTCTGCCGAGAAGCGTTCCGAGCATTCCACGCGCACAAAGAAGTAGTGACTTCATCTGGAAACATGACATACTCCTCAGAATGATTAAAAAATGCTTGTGTACGGTGTTTTTGTTTTCCTATTTAAAAAWAATGATTATTTATACAGTTTTTATGAAAATCGATACTATTTTACCAGTAGTTCCAGCTCCAGTATATGCAATCAGACATCTACTAGTGGATAACTCCCAAAGTTTCACCATAGAATCTTTGCCTGATGATAAGATGTACTACAAAACGATAAAAGAAAATTTTTTAATATTACTATGTTTATAAAAATAAAATCATTAACATTTTCACCTTTCCATTTCTTGAAAATGTCACAGAACACACTTGACTACCATCATGTGCTTTTTCAAATGTGTTAACACATTTATTAGACACAGCRTCCCACAATTTAATTGAACCATCTCGACTAGATGACACAAAGTACTTGGCACCAAGTTCAAACCTAATACATCATAATAAACAATACATTTACAAATAATTAAATAGGAATAACACGTAAGATAATTGTTTATATACTTTATTGATGTAATAGGACCAGTATGTTGATGACTAGGAATTGAACTAACATAACATTGAACCGTATTTATATCATAGAGCCTTATGACTGGGCTATTAGTCCCCATTACCATATGGTCTCCAACTGGATGAAAACTTATACATGTTATCGGTTCAACATCCTGTAATGTTGTTGCGTACAGTTAAAATAATTTGAGTACAATAAAATTTGATTTAACATYTTACGTCTATTGTCTTGAAGGCTTTTTTCACAGATGTTTTTGAATAATCAAAAAATTTAATATGACAATCTCGAGAGCCTGAAGCCAAAATTGGCTTGGTAGGGTGGAAATCCAAACACGTCACTTCTTCCAAATGATCATACAAAGTCCGAATTACTGGATGTACCTGTCCTTCATGATTTTCAGCACAACCAACATCATGTGCTTTAGCCAGCATTCTTTCAACATCCAAAATCTATAAACATTTCATAAAAGATCACCATATTCAGCGAGATATTCTATTTTGTTAAATATGATTACTTTGATTGATGCATCACAGCTTCCAGTAGCGATTAATTGACCATCAGGACTAAATGCACCAGCCCTACAGGCTCCTTTGTGAGATGTTACATAAACTGTTTCATAAAGCGATGGTTCCGGAGCAGTACAGATAACATCAGTCTCAAATTCCAAGTCTAATCAAAT